TACAACTTGTGTCTTACCGTGACTCGTTATTCTGCGAAAGACGACCAGAATAACTGGCCATCGAAGAACGTTGTGAATAGAAAATTAGGTGACTACCCCTACTTCTTTATTCCGTGCTCTGAGCGTGAGCGTACACATAGCTACAGGTTTATTCAACAGGTTGGAATGTACAATAGACGTGTGTGTGTGTGCTCTATACTGAGATTTCGAAGCTCCCCCCCCCATCCAGCCGCCTCCTTCGTGTCAATTATCCTGCATGTCTGTATCGGATACCTGCACAAAACGATTTCACGTTAAAACAGCATATTGTACGGTCGAAACAATTGCACCTATGCGACTATTGCGGTCACTGACAAAATAAAATCATACAGGGAACAAATATTAGCTCTACCCGAACAATCTAGAAGGACTGAAGATTTTGTGTCAGATAAACTGCTAACTTGAATATTGTCACAGTTCTCTTAGTGGTCTAGGCAAAATATGCAAAGTCGATCACAAGTGTACACAGTCCTTTTTATCAATAAATTCCTGTTGTGTGCATCTTCTCAATTTCTTTGCACCCTAGACCACTGGAATTTTCCATTTTCTGTTCTACTCTACTTTCCACTTTCCTGTCTTCTCCTGTTCTTCATCCAAATGGGCAGCCAAAAGACAGCAACCAAAACCGGCGCAGGATGGTGCATGGTTAATAGTTGTACAACTTGAACTGAACTGTTGCGTGTCCCAATCATCCAGATAGAACTGGTTGCAGTACAGCGTCCAGGATACAATGTGTAACCTGGGGTCAAGAAAATACTTATTCTGTAGTGTAAACTGAACGTAGTGATGAATACATGCTATTCTTTTATTCATTCTTTTTAGTTAACTTTGGAGTGGTTAGTTAGTTTTGGACGGCGTCAACCACAGTCGATACTTCTTCACGCTGTAGTCAATCCAACCGCTAGTGTGCCCGCTTCAATTTGGACTAGATTATGGACTTCACAACGGTATAAATTTCACGTAACTTGCGAATTCCAGCTGTGCCTCTATATCGCAGTTCGACTTTGATAAGAGAACTGTTTTAATTTCCAAATTCTATTCGATGCCCTCTGTTCGAAACCCTAATTTGATCCTCTTTTTGTTTTATTCGGATGTTATCTTCAACTAACTCCATTAATAGTCCACTGCGGATGCGTGGTGAATGGGTTTGCGCTAGTTACGACCGTACTTTGCTGTCTGATCCAGTTACATCGAGTTTACTAGAAACTGAATCAGACTTGAATTTTCGACTCAGTAGCATGTTTATGATTCGTTGGATCATCTGGAGTGTTCGGCACGCCGTTTTGTTCCTTCTCGGCCCGTGCTCGGTACACCCCGTTTATTTACACTAATATTTTTGCGCAGCACGAATAGGTTGATGTTCACTATATTAACCTCGTCTTCTCTTATCCCTTTATTCATAGACAAATGCGTTTTCTCGGTCACATTGTTCCACTCGCGTTCATCATCTTCTTGCCACTGGTTTGTGGCAAACCGGGCGATCCAATGAAACTGAATTCTGTGGATCAGACTCCAATTCATCTGGCCAAAACCAACGGCACCACGAGCAACGGAGTTGTCAGCACCGAACCGCACGACTCAACCAAGACCGTAAAAAAACCTCACGAGAGCTAGTAATCTTGTCTTCCGGTCCCTCTCTTTGTGCACATGGAACATTCCAGCCAGCCTCATATATGCCCGTTTTCGTTCTTGATCTCCTCCACATAATTATTACACACATAAAACGGGGTCTAGTACATGGCTTTGAGGCAAACTGGTTTTTAAACGGTCTCTTGCATTCTCGTGGTCTGTTTTCGTGTTTCTCCATACTCGTGTATCATATTGTATGGAGTGGATCTCCCTTGTGTTTCAGGCACTATCCGCATGATGTATGTGTGACTGGATGAATCAACCAACCATTCTTTATTCGTTCTGATAGCCTTATCGATTGGCTGTTCAATGGGTTCGTCGGTTTCCCTGTTTCAACCGTCCCGGGGATTTTATGTGACATAACCAAGATGGAGATAAGTCCGCAGAACCTATTTGGCGAAAAATGACTTGTTTCTTCTTTGTTCGTTTTCCGCCCTGCTTCCGCGGTCTGTCTCTGTGTGTGTTTCTGTTCCGGGCTTCTTCGGAGAAAAACAAACTAACAGATTGTTCAGTGCATTTTTCGTGATCTTTTTGAGAACCGACGGGGGTAGATAATTCAAAGGAAGCCTGTCGTGGCAGTCCGCTTATATGCTAACTCATGGATGCTATGCGCCTCTGTAAGTTGGATGAATGTTTCCAATGTGAAATGATCAGTGCTATCGGTGTGGCCTCATAGCTCAGCTGGTAGAGCGTGCGCTGTACAAAAGCGTAAGCGGCGTTCATGCTTCGATTCGAATCCCACCGATGCTACTGAGCTTCTCATAATCTCAACATAAAACTTCAATCGGCCAAACAACTATGTGAACAGATAATGTTTGTTGGATGGTACGGTACAGAGCTTACGCAACTATAACATCTGAAGTTCAATTTTGGAAATTGTCACATTCAATTTCGTTCAATGGCAAAAAATTGATTGAGATTCCGATCGGAGTTAGTGAGGCGAGCTTTTCTGACTGGGCTGTGCCTCCTTGTTTATGGCCAAGCGAAGACCATGAATTGTATCACCAGTGTAGCCCACTATCACAATTGCGTTTTATGTGCAAGATGTTTTTGGTTCAATCATTGATAGAGCTGAACAGACTGGATCCGTGTGAGTGAATGAGATTCACTTTCGCAAACTAGAAGTGGAAACCACTTTCCAGACGGTAAAGTATTAAGATCAATCTCCTGGATTGTACGACTTGGTTGAATTCGAATGTGTGTAAATTCCAAGAACTGCGGCGATACATCATGTTAGACAGTGGTATAGAACTTTAAGCTACCTAGCTTTAGGGATTCTTGTTTTCCCATTCTGTGCATTTACTCAATTTTTAGTAAGATAGGAATCCGTGTAGTTTTGATTTATCAGATAAATTAAAATCTTTGATTGTGCACTCAGCTTATGATTCGAACAGTGTAGAACAAATTTTGACCTTTCTCTGTTTGCAGCATTTATTTATCCGGAAATGGCTGGATTTACTGGCGGGATAAAATCACGTCACAGATTTTTGTGGTATTTCCATGTGGTACACCCATCACATCCTCGAGCAACAATACGAATCGTCCGCGACCGCTTTTTCAGTGTCCTAGCGACAGAGCTCTGACGGTGGTCAAGCGGATAAAGACCCAAAGGTCCTGAATTCGAATCCCACCACCACTGCACATATTCCCCATTTATGACTTTCCCCGGGCAGCCACTTTGTCAAGCTTTGCTCTTTTGAGGAGTAAACAGAACGAAGAGTGCGCATTCGCCATTTTTGAAAAGAAAGTCTTTTCAGTTGAACCATGTAGGGAGCCATGAATATTAGGTCCAAGAATGGTACGTACATTTCTCAGATAGTAATCTCCTGGTCGGCACTTTCTTTACTTGGTTGAGTGTCAAACGCCTGTGTGAGCTGGTTTCGGGTAGGGGTTAATTCAATACATGTATCAGGTTCGAGATCAGGACCACAAAAGGGGGCAGCATGTAGCAAGATATTTTGTTTAAATTTTCAAAATGGGCATAGAAATAGAGTACTATTTGTGCTTAGACTTCTTTAAGTCGAACCGAAGTTGCATTTCGATCAAAACGTGGGCCGTACAAAATCATTGAATGTTAGGCGGAGAAATACTAGGCTGATACGAAGATGATTTATTTATTGGCCACTGCCAGTCGAAGTTTGTTAATCAAAACGCTAGTTAATTTGGGGAGTCACGACATGAGTGACATACAGACAAGAGGCAAAACATATATGCTAACCATGAGAAACGTGCTTGAAAACTCCTCTCTGGAGTTGATTTGGTTATCACAACTAATTGTCTGGTGAGGGTGTTAACAGGGTCAATAGAGAAGAAACTCTTGACCTCTAAAA